AGACAAGAACATTTAGGCTTTTTTTTGTTTGTTTTGTTTCCCTCCCCCAGAATGAGAGCCTTATGCTTGTGTCCTGTTGAGGGGCACCATCTCTAGAAGAGAGGCATGAGTTGTTGTGCTGGAATGTCCCTCAAGGTGAATTCTTTCTACACTTGGGTTTCACCTTTCTGACATAGTTTTTGTGCTTTTAAAATGGAGATGACACTTACTGTCTAATAATGCTTAGAGGATTAATTACATAATATCAGGGATTTAAAAAATTACTAAAAGTTATAGATATTACTATCAGTGGATTAAGCTATAATTCATGGTACTTAATTTCATTTCAGTTAACATTTAAACAGAAATATTATTGTTCTGAGAAGTTACCTAAGAAAAATAATTGCTTTACTGAAAATAGTTAAGCTACAATAACATGTAGAGAAAAAAAAAAACAAAAACACATTCAGAAGAACATGCTTTGCATGTTGTTAGTCACAGCCCAGCAGTGCAAACCTGGGTTACTTGTGAAAAAGGTAGTTAATGTATTTAGTGCACTTGCAAGTTAAAAATTGCCATTTTATGATAATTCTTTTCATCTCATCAAGATTGGTCATGCTCTTCTGAGTATCTTCCATTAACAAGACTGGCGTTTTCAGATTCTGAGACTGGGAATTAATTACACTCAGTTTTTGAGGATGTCTTCTTTGTTATTGGCAGTTGGGTGGGAGGGAATGTGTGATTACTCTAAGTGAAAATCAATCTGACTATTAATTGTCAGACTGCAGAAAGAGTATGCATTTTTAAATGAAACAGTGTTTTCTAAAATGTCACAGCTCAGGTCAACAGCTGAAATTCCATTAAATTCAGTGAGTCCAGGATGCTATATCTGTGGTCTCCACGGCAAAATATGATAAACGACAAAACCAGAACAGATTAGCAGCATAGGGTTTACATGTTTGCTGATCCTTTATTTGATCCTAGAACTAAGCCAAAAATTATTCTTTTCTTGTTGGAAATGGCTTTCTGGGAGAAAAAAAAAAAGAGAGAAAAAGAAAAAAGAAAATTTTCATGAAATAATAATGCTAGGTATATTGCTGTGGTGCCTTGTGGGCTTTATGAGTGTACCATATTCACAAAGATTTTAATATCATAATGGGCTGAATTCCCTGACTGAGCTGCAGCTCTCCTGTCTGCTTTTACTCCAGAACACTGCATACTAAACTTTGCTTTGCTTCTATCACTTCAACTGCTGCTACTACAGTTGCAGTTAAACGTTAATTTAGCTGCTTTAATGATAAACTGCCATGAAAGATACATGTCACACACATATTCCATTTCAATTATTAGCAATAGACCTTGCAGTGGTAGGATAAATTAGTTAATAGGCTGATCCACCATAAAGCTAACCCTGTGAAAACCCTGCAGTTTGGGTTTTGTAGGACAAGTGAGTGGAGTGAGCTTGCCCTGGTGTAACGTGAGCATTAGATCCCATCTGAGGAGGGGACAGGAATGGGGAAACGAGGTGCGAGACCTTCCCATCCAGGGGCGGTCAAATACTGCCTTAAGCTGCCATAGCCATAATTTCAAAGTGATTGCTAAGACCCTGCAGTTGCATTAAGCCCTTGTCCCTGTGTAACAGTATGTCATAAAATATCAGATGTTCCCAAAATCTAAGGGTTGCTGCCTAAATGGGTTTGCAGACCTGAAATGGGAGAAGTCTAGAAAGGCCCAAAAGTTTTGGGCCATGTTCAGTGTTCTGACTGACCTCAGGGTCCTGTATTGTATTTCCTTCAAAAAAAAAAGCTACTGCTAATGCATATGTATCACCTGATGCCACAATGGGCTATTACAACGATTTGCATGAAAGAGAAATAGGAGAAACTTTCTGTGGGATGACCTAGAAAACCTCTTCACAAATTATTACTGCAGCAGGAGTCCCAGTATAAAAGATGTATCAACTGTTCTGATTTTCAAAGGACATTTTGCTCTGAAGTAAATTCCACAGCTGGTTGAATGTTCATGTCCTTGGGATGTTTGGAAAACCAATGACTGAAAAATCAAGTATGGACTTGCTATACATAAAGGCAAGATCAAAGCCATGTGAAAACATGCATATATTTTTTTAACATAGACCAGAAAGCACCAGGTTGACCTTGCTGAACCTGGAGATTAGCCTCACAACACTTTAGACATGGAACGGGAATGTGCAATGCAAGTCATGCTGCTTTCCGCTCTGCGGGTTTGTTTGTGGCACAGATACAGTGATGCTACCTGCCCCTTTCTGAAAGAAAGAAGATAAAGATTCTTTATATACCTGCTGGGGATCTGCATCTCAGTTAGATGCTGAAAGATTCAGCTTTCCTCCATCAGCAAAACCCTTGGTGAAATTTCACTTGGAAAGGATGTGGGGAAATGTTAGGCAGGATGAACAGACGTGATCAGAAAAAGTGTTGCAGCAAAGACAAGCTTTTGGAAAGCAGGATAGCCAACTGGGTAGTCATGCTTCATGAGCCTTTGCCAGAGAAAAAGACAAAAACACACTCTTTCTCTTGGACTGATGATGAGAGACAGTTTCAAAGCCACAGTCCAATTGACTTGAAAATTGCATGAGAAAGCAGTACAGAAAGGACTGTTCACTTACTGAGAGGGTTCTCCCCCTTCACCTGCTTAAATTAAATACAAAAGTTTCTATCTCATTCATTCTAGGGCAGCATGTAAGATCATAGAAATACTTCTTTTACCTCAAAGGGCTCAGGAAACTTTTTCAAATACAAAATTTTTGCCTGGAGAGTTGCACTGGAGAGTGTGCAAGAAAGCCACGTTCCAACTTTTCTCCATCTAGTCTTGCTCATCTATATGGGAAGGAACAACTTCCCAGCTCACAACTTCAGACCACTTTCAGGGTGAATGTTATGAGGAGGAAGTTGCCAATTGAAATAGCTTGTTGCCCCATTGATCAGAAACTGTGGAGCCGAAGCAGACCCCAGATATGTGGTCACTAGTTTCTTTCAGAAATCACAATGCAAATTCAGAGACTTAAAGTTTAATCTTGCCATCTTATTAAAGAAAAATATTTGAAGTTTAAAATACATCTTTTTTCCACAGTTCCCATCCACTCTAATCCTCAAAAAGAGTTGTTTACTTTGTGTGGGGTTTTTTTGTTTTTTTTTTTTTTTTATGTGGGGAGCAGAAGATCAGCTGTAGCCTAAGGCTCTGTCACTTTTTTGATTATATTTTGGAAGAGAATTGAAAATCACTGTTGGATATATTTTTGTGTGTCACAAATGTTGATGGAAAAGTAAATGATGGCCAGGACAAGGTCTCTACACAAAGTCATGTGGATCCTTTGATAAGCAGGATGTATCCATGTTTTAATATAATTTCGTATCAGATTATGTTCCTGACAAGAATCACCAAATATATTTCAAAGGAAAGTGGTAGACTCTGCACCTCTTTGATGTCTGTCATTCAGGTATGAATCCATTCTTGGAAGAAAAGCTTTAGCTGCGCACTAGTTGTTTAATAACCTGGGATAGTCACTGGGCTTTAGATAGTGCAAATTTACATTTCTGGTCTTGCATTGTAAAGCTCAGGCGAAGATTACCATTCTGATGGATGTGTGCTCATCTGTAAACATGAACCATACAAAATATGAGTCAGTTGCTGTTCAGATCCCTTTTCTGTGTCAACTGTGCAAGCTCTGGACATGCTTACTTTTGCTCTTAAATGGTGGAGTTCTGTCAAGCCTAATTCCCTTTTATGGTCAATCTTTACATGATTCACTCTGTATTATCATTATGAATACTTGGTCACAAAGGAAGCAAGGGAATTAAATACGTTTAGTACTCTTTTTGATAGTAGATGCTGTGAACAACTAGGGATTTGCAGCAGTAACTGTTAATATCACTGCCTACATTAAAATGTGTTTAAATATTTCTTATGTTGTTACATTATTTTTTTTTTATAAATAATGCATATAGTTTGTATACATGGTGCAAAGACTTCCACATCCATTTCTTAGGATAAGAACAATTTGCTGATTGAACAGGGATCTTACGATATAAAGGCTTGAGTTCTTGACACATTGTCTTCAATTACATGAAATTTGAGGGGGACAGAAAAGAAGGGTGAAGAAACATCCTGTTGCTTTATCAAGAAGCATTTGCACAGACAGTTTCTGAATGAATATTCTGCTTTTATTTCCTCAGTGATTTCCTGGAAAATCCAAAGGTTTTTTTGGCATGCCCAATCTAAGGTCCTTCCTTAACAGGAACACACGTTTTTTGGTCATTCTCCAAGGCCTTGACAGTACTGGGAAAAAAAAAAAATCAAAAAGTGTTGAAAATCCTGACAAGATTTTGGAGAGTGATTTCAAGTGTTAATCAGTCTGTCTGAACTTACACAGGATCAGATATCATTCAGGTCAGCAGGCAGGTGATAGTAGCTGTGTTTTCAGTGCCTAGGAGTTAAGTCCCCTTAGGAAACCTTTGAAATGTTATTAAACGGTATTCCATAAGACAGTGCTAAATTTCAGTTTTGCCTTAGATTGCTAAAATTGCTTGTATGAACATAGAGTGAATGGAAACATGTTGTCTGTTCTGAATACAGTGAAGGAGCGTTTGCTGTAATTCCTAACTACAAAGTGACTAGTATCTTGTTAGCAGTATAATAACATATATCAGCAGTTTATTTTCTGATGAAAAATGAATGTGTTACGATTTTAGCACTAAAGCTTGTGGAAGGCATTTGCAAGTGTTTGAAGACAATACTTCTTTTTCTCTGAAAAAGGACTTTGAGGTTAATTTATTTAAAATTCTGAAAAATTTCTTTTTATTTTTCATTCCCTTTAGCTCTGCAAAATGTATGGTAAAAGCAGCTTCCTAAGTGGAAAATTATTGGGAAACCATTCCAATAATTTTAACAGCTTTGAGTCCAGGGCACTTTACACATATTCTGTGTGTGTCTGGTTTCATGTGCATTGCACCTGCTCTAAGAAAAATGATTTTGCTTCTTTTTAGAGCTGAAACATGAGATCTATGTTTGGCGACTGACTGCACAGCGCATTAACCCAGCCAGCAGAGAGGAGACTGCAGTGAAATGCCTCTTGATGCAGAAGGTGCTGACTCTGGAGATGCTCCTGAGGAAGAAGCTGAGCACGTTCCACAGGTGAGCAGGGACCAGCCTGTCCCACCTCTCCTGCTCTGACCCTTGGTGGGGACAAGCTGTTTGTTGGACTGGCAGGGAGCTCCTGCTCGTCTCAGTCTACAGCCAGGAATGGTAGCGTGGCTTTGCTAACATCAGTAGCAATAGTTGTGTTTGCTTCAACCAGCCAAGGGCTCATATCTAGTAATTTTAGGCAGAGCTGAGAGCGAAGGCTTTCAGGAATCTTCACTGGGATGAGACCTATATTCTTAGTCATCACTTGATCGGATGAGCATATATGAAGAGCCACCCTTGGCCTCAGTAAAACACAAAGTATTTCAGAATAAAAGCTATGTGTAAGGCCTGGAAAATATATATCAATATGACCCAAATTTAAAGACCTAGAAATTTCAGGTATTTTTTGGTTGAAAAAGCTCACAAATATGTCATTAGATTTTTCCTTGCAATAGTGGCTTCAGCATAGTAAAATGCTATCATTTCTTTTTTTACTGAAAAATTCAAGTGTTCTTCAGTGAACTGTTGAGTTTGACAAATGTCACCAGTGAATTGTTGTGTTTTAAAATTATTTCCTAATCAAACCTTCAGTGTGAACCTGAGTGCAGACATAACTAACTGTTTATGTTTAGAAAAGAAGTTTACATAAACAAGGACTAAGAAAAATGTTAACCTTGGCAAAAGCAGTTGTTACCCTATGGAACTTGATGACTGAGAATAGCAGTGATAAATACTCTGAAAGTGAATTGACTAAAATGAAACTGAAATAATTAATTTTCATTAATAAACAGTATGAGCAAGGACATGTAAATACGATTTCTTAAACCACCTATTCCAGTAATAAGATGACTCTTGTTTACACAGTTTTTTGCTGGTACTGTGTGCTTTGAATGGAGTGACAGCATTAATACTTAAAGACAAAAAAGGCTGTTAAAATAGCCTCCTTTCAAAAATATTATAACAAATTATTAGACTTTATGACACTCTAAAGAAGATGTTTCTGAAGTATAAATAAAAATTGTATATTTAATCTTGAAAAATCAGGATTCCTCCAGCACAGTACATTTACAGCAATGTAAAAAATTCATTAGCATTAGCAACAGCGCTTCTGAACTGTAAACCCCAAGGCTTTTTGCTGGAGGGCTGACTATGCTGATAACACGGTGAAGTTATTCAGATCTTAAAAACTTCATTATAAAATGCAAATGTAAAATATATGTGTTCTGAGTTGTTGGTGTTAGCACACGACCCTTGTTTTATCGCAGCAGGGCACACATCAACTCCTGAAACTATTAAGGGAACAACATATTGCATATAGTCAGATCCTATACCAAGGTCCATACCCTGGAGGCTAGCTCCTTCCAGGCCTGTGGCACCCTTCATGAAAAAAAGGTTTTGGGTATTAGTGGAGCATGTTACAAAACTGGAGTCTTCATTGAACCCTCATGGGAATTTTGCTGCTGGCAGTAAGAAGGCCACGACTCCTTTGTGGTATGAGTTACTCCATATGGGGGAAAGTGTGATCTATTTGTGATGGGAGGGATTTATTCTAACACCCTTGGCAGAGCTCTAATTTCACTCTGGAAAAAAGCAGGTGTCATTTTCTTTCAGGCAAATTTCACAGGAAGATAAAAACTGGGAAACAAATATTCAGGAACTCCAGAAAAAAGTAAGTAGATGGCAGTTTTTCTCAGTATCCAGGTAAGCAGACCTATGCCTTTATACAGAGAGAGTGCTTTGAATCTAATGCAAATTTAATAACTCTATAGGAAAAAATATGGCAGGCAGGCTGGCTGGCTTCTCAGGGGGACAGGGTTACTGAACCACATTGTGAGGTTTTGTTAGGTTTTATACTTTTGTTCCTTAGAAAATATAATTTAAAGAATCAGTAAATGATTCAGCAGTGTTTCCTTAATTTTTTAATCCTTGGCCAGAAAGACTCAGGACGTGTCAATAGGTCATTTATAACTGTGATGTATGACAATAGAGTACACTCCTGCTGATGTACCAAATATCAGCTCTAATTTACCACACTGCCTGTGACATGCCTGCTTTATTGTTCAAGCAGGGATAAACCACTTGGATAAATCCTGTTCTCTTTGCTGTGCACACATTAAGGCTCCCTAAGTCTTTCTGCTGAGGCTGGGTCTGATGAGATGTAAACTCTGTAGTGGGATTAGTTTAACCTAAATTTGTCTAAATGTCACATTCCCTCTACCTCACTGGCATCACTAATGAATCCAGGCCTGTGTCTGGGAGTGCAAGTCCTTGACTGGGACATCACTGTCCTATGTGTCACACCAAAACAGAACAAAACCAACAGGACTTCTTACTAGGTTTTACACCTTTTTCAAGGCATTGCATAAAAGGCAAACTTTTTAAAGAACAGAGACTTACTTGTACTTTAGTAGAGCTTTAAACTATGTGAAACAACAGAGGGACTCGGGCTGGGAGAAGGTGATTCCCTGCCTTGGTGGCAAAAGTGAGATGAGAGCAGAGAAGCAGAATGACAATGGAAAGCGTGGGGTCTGAGGGCGAGAACATGAGGAGACTGGCACAGGGATGCAGGAGCTGGGCATGGGGGTGTAGAAGCTGCATAGAGATGATGGGCTTGGTATGTCTATGAGAGTTGTACAGGAGGCATGAAAGATCTGACCTCTAGGCCAGTTCATAGGTTTTCAAAGCATATGTGCAGAAAAGGGTGATTTTGTCCAGGGTCATGAAACCAGAGAGTGCCCGGAGTGCCCTCTGTAGTAGGAATTGCATTTCAACGCTACTTCTACTGAAATGAAGTTGTGATGGGGGTAGCTGAACACAGCTGAATGTATGCAGCAGGTGCTAACTACTCATGTCTCTTAGATCCCACTGGGCCACATATTCATGTTTTTTATAGGTATGCATGAATGCTTCAATTTAAATATTTCTGTCTTTTATGCTGAGGAGGTAATACACAATACAGGAACAGAAGTCTGTGCTTCACACATGCTTTTGTGAACTCTATGCATAAGAGATAGCTCCTTCTTTAATAGCTATTATTTTTTTTCTCCTTGTCCCTACAGCACAGAATAACAGACAAAATTCTTCTCATCAAATGCCTGACTGTGCTGGGATGTGTTATTCTTATGTTTTTTCTCAACTCGTTTGTTCCAGGCATCTACCTAGATCTTGGTAAGTTTCATAGTTTTGTTCTATCTAAGTAAAACAAACCACCTCCCTGAAAAAAAACAGTACTACTTTTCTGAGTCTGGATCTTTTCAGAAAGCCCTTTTCAGCATGTCTCTGGCCTCACGATTACACCAGGTTAATCAGAACAGCAGTTTCTCAGAACAGGTTTTCGAAAATGCAGTCATGTCTCAGTCACCCCAGGAGGAATAACAGAGAGTGCTCATGACTTCATTTTTCTGACTTCCCAATACGAACAAGCTGGCCAAACATTACAGAATGAGCAAATTTTACCTTGGCATCATTGCACTGTAGGTTTGAATGAATGACCAAGATGCATTATAGAGATCAGAAAATAATCACTCCATGGAAGAACAAAAAAATAGTCTGGCATTATTTCTTAAGTATAGATAACTCTTTGTATGACTTCCAGTCTCCATTACTTTATCACCAGAAGAAATAATTTCCCAAAATAAAATCAGGAAGACACTGTAGATGTGTGAAATGAAAATAGCTGTATGCATACTTTCTATATATAGACCCATATGTGCAGGTTTTTATACAGCTAGTCGTATACCTGTATGAAGACAGGGTCTGCATATCCTGAAAACAGAACCAAATTAAAGCCTACATTTAACTGAAGGACAATAATAAAACCTACCTGTGCGTTGCCCTGTGAAAAGTTAAAAATATTTTATTAGCTGCTGAGAACTTGAAAGTTATGGAATTTCAGATTTATGTTTTTTCATGCAATCTGAATTCCCCCACCATGTACATCCATCCCAGTGGCTGAAAAATGCAACAGTCTTGAAGAGGAATAACGCATAATCAATAAATCATTGATTGAATCATCATATACACAGATACTACACTGAAATCCATTTCTGTTATGCACAATATAGAGCTAGTTATAGCTGTACAATGGTGATCAAGTGGTAAACAAGACCTCCCATATCTGCTGCTCACACTTCTGGTGTATTGATTGGCTTATAAAGGTACCAGTTGCAGAGGGCTGTTCTCTCTGCTGGGACCTAGGGAAATACCAGTGTTGCATATTGCCAGCACCAGTGGGAGGATATAGGCTACTATGTCTGGAGCAACGTGTTTTAATAGGTATAGCTTTGCTGCTAAACGCATTTGTTCCAGGGGCTGATCCCCAGCCCTCAGGCCTTATTGGTGCAGGATGGCTTGTGTCCACACTGCTCAGACCTTGCCCCTTCAGAGAAGACTGGCTGCATCTCCACAGCACAGCAATTGGCCCTGAGTTTCTTCTTGACATTGTATGTATGGGTTAGTTAATTTTCAGGTTCACAGTGAGGGCAGTTTTGTAGCCTAACAGAGCCGTGGTTTAAGACTGTGAGGCTGAGGGCCTATGTTGCATTATCTGGTACATGCGATGGAGTTTTAGTGCCTGAAGCCACCAGGGATAATGTTGGAGTAACTGTACAGAGCAGAGAGACCCAAACCTGATCCAGACTCACCCATGCTGCTGTTTGGGTGTGATCCCTGAAATGAATTGTCTCCAGAACTGCACCTGGGTTTATTTTTCTCTTAGATGAAACAAGCTGGGTCACTGCAAAAGAGTCTGGGAGCAAAGCAACACTTACACAAGGGGAACTCTGGGGGACCAGTACCTTGCTGTGGACTTGGGCTAAGCAGTTATCTAACAGTGTTGATATACGCAGAAAGACCTTATTGGCATCCAGCAGAAGTCCTGGTGCCCTGGAGCAGTATGAGGTTAGGAAAGGGGCTGCGTCAGCCAGGCTTTCTTCCCCATTTCAGCCAGTGCCACAGCTGCTGTGGCAGCTTCCCTGTTCCAGCGTATTTGCCATGGAAATGGGCGATTTCAGCCCATTAAGATTATTAGCTGTTAAGAAGTTGAAAGGTATACTGAGTATTATAACAGCAAAAGTGCTATATTACTAAGGTGTAGGAAGATGCAGAAATTGAAGACATCTGAAGGTATTTGAAGTTACGGTGGCTAAGACCATAAGGCAGGCATTCACATCAGCAATTTAAGAAATCCATTTTCACCCTTACTTTTTTGTCTCAGAAAAGTAGGCACCGAACCACGTAGAATTTCTTGAATTCATCCCAACACCTCTAAGTGTTTTTGAAAAGCCACAGACAGTAAAGACCACATAGTGCAGGTTGCATATGCTCCTGGTAAGATATTCTTTCAAAACTGCAAAGCAGTTGGAGTCAATACTAGAAGAAACTTAATAACTGATGATTGTTTTTTGTCCTAATTTGTCAGTAAAAGAAATGAAAACAAATGGTATGGTTGGCAGTGCAGTTTTCTATTATTCACTAGCTGATCTTCAACTGCAGCCTTGAAAGTAAATAGGGGCTGTATATGTTCTGTATAATTTCTCCCCGTTCTGTATTCATGGCAAACTTGTCAGATTAATGAATAAATGTTATTAAAACATACATGTAATTTCTATTAACAATTAATGGAACCTGCAAACTTCTACTGAGATCTCATTGGTGGCTCCTGAATTTCACTATCTTGATGATAGCTGTCACTTATTTATCATTACTGAAGTAGTGCCGCTGTGAGTCTCTACGGATTTTAGTCCTCCAGTGCGTGGAAATGAATTTCCTAAAATACAGCATATCTTGTACTCTGGTGGTTTGGGTAAATTTGTTCAATATGTTTTTCTCATAAAAATGAAAGTAGATTGTAGTTCAGTGTTTAATTTTCTACCAGAATAATGTTTTATACAGAGGCTGAAGTGTTAGAAATCTAATAACTTTTAATTGCATTTGGTAGAGTGAATTAGAAAGATTATAGAATTCTTTATCAGTCCCCAGCCTTGATACAATTTTTCCATTATGAACTTGGAATCATTAATATAATTTGAAGGAACTGACATTTTAATTTAAATAATAAAATTTGCATACTTAGCTGCCTTTTAAAATGCAGAACACTTTCCTATTCATTTTTTTTTGTACCTGCTCATCAATTTATTTAGTCTAATTCTATGAAATATCTATGTTAATGAAAGATTAGTACTGAGAATTTAAATAAACAGATATGGTAAACTTTAAGACTTCTATAGTGCTTTCATTCAGTCCCATGGGATTTTATGTTATTGATAAAGTATTGATAATGCATCTGAGAAAAGATGAAAAAAGATGAAAGTAAAGCCCCTTTGAGGATTGTACCTGGCTCCTATTTTGACTTTAACTTTTAGGTAGGCATATCTAGAGCTTTGAACTATAGTAAGACCCCCCAAAAGAGACAAAAGACTTTAAAAGTAAAACAAAGCAAGAGTTTGTTTAAATTTAAACTAATTTTTTTTTTAATAGAGGATGTTCAAAGGGACTATGTCAGAAAGAATATACAAAATCAATTTATAACCTACTTATTTTTGCTTCTGTGGGGCAGGTCCTTCCTCTTTGGCTTGGTTTCAGTCAGTTAAATGAGTTGTTGAGCTGCTGTGAAGTCTGTGCAGCTCTCTCTAATATCCATGAAGAGGGACCCATCACCTCTGTGGCCCTGCTTTTGTCTGCCCCTCTCAGTGGTCTCTGCATGCAATGCAGGCACCCCGCTCCTTGTAGACCCTCTAGCTCTTGCTCTCTTCTACCTCCAGACACTTCTTTTCCAAGGGCCAGGCTGAGTAGTTAATGAGGCACAGGAAGGTCCTCTCCTCCTTTTAGAGGGTTGCAACAGACTCTGCTGCTCTCTTCTTCAAGAAACAAGATGCAAACCCAAGAGCAAACAAAAGAGCTATTGCCTGTTTCAGAGAAAAGATACTGTCTCTATTTTGGCTGTAGACTGCTGGAAGCTGGGAAGGTATGCCAGGAGAAATGCACGTTGTTGCCACTATTTTCCCTGTTGGAGACAGGACTCCTGCGTAGGTGGACCTTTGGTATTACCGTCTATGGCTGTTCTCATGTTCCTTTAATTAATTAATTATTTATGCAAGGGGACAGGGAGATTTTTGGACTCACTGAATTGTTCCATAATTTAGGACTGCTCTTTGCTCCAGTCCCAGCAGAAGACAGAGTTTCAAATCATAAACCTTGAGGGAGCTATCTTGGCTTTTTTTGCTTCTGCAGAGGGGTTACGTCTTCACACTATTGCCTGAGCCCATTCCAGTATTTTCGGTGCCATGGATATCTGTGATCCTTCAGACATCAATGTTTAAGCTAATTACCTTCAGCTGCCCTTAAAATAATCTCTGGAGGAGGTCAATAATCAGTGGAGGTGATCAACAGCTGTGATTCATCTGACCTACTTTAAATGTCTGATTCATGAAATGATTCACCTTACCCTATGTCACTTCACTTTTTATATGCCAGAAGGCATCTTCTCAAGCTATACCAAGTTTTAGTCATAGATACTTAAAAACAAAACCCAGAACAGCTAGATGGACATTTGGCTTGATAATTGATTATTTGGGAGTTTCACTTCTAACTAAAATCAGCTTTGGTATTATTAACCAAAGAAGGGTTAGCAAAAAACCCCAGACTTAGGAACTTTAAAAAAATTTATGGTTTTACTCTTTTAACTAACTAAAGTGATCACTATGACCTTTCTGGGTAGTAGGACAAGTTCTATAAGTCAGCACTCCATGTCACTTCTGTCAAACAATCATCCTAGGTCTAAATTTTCCCCCACGTCCTTTCTCTAAAGCTAAAATCCCTCAATATTTACAGACAAAGTTTATCTTGTTTGATGAGACTTCATTCATGTAGTTAAATCTAGTTTCTCTTGGAAAACTCTCTCTTGCTTTCTATATTCACTTTGGTTTAACTTCTGACTGTGAGCTTGGTCTGCAAATTCTGCTGCAGATACTTTTGAGGATCTGAAACTGTCTTTTTGTGATTTATTTTAACTGGTTGTATCTTGCATCATTGAAACATTTTAAAACTGTGACTGCAATAGTGGAAAAGTAGGGAAATAATTGTTTTCATTGAATTTAAATGGAGTTCTGTTTGTTTGGTAGGCCATGTTATGAAAAGCTCCTTTTTATTTTATTGCCAGAACATTAAAG